ATTAAAAAAATACCTAATTTGGTTCTTAAAGTTATTGAATTTGGCTCCAAATTGGTTTTTCCGTTAAAAAACAACTAATATGTTTGTTACTTGACGATAGAAGACTGTTACTTGATAGTTATATGTCACATTAGTAATGAGATACGTCTGTTATTTATTAATAAAAAGATTAACTTGAAATCAAATTTAAAATTTTTTTAAATTAAAGGCATGTTTGGGATTGTTGTAAAATATTTGTGATCGTAATTGTAGCTGTAATTATAGTTGTAGCTACGATTATTACTATGTTTAATTGTATTGTATTATACTGTACTGTACTGTAAATGTGATTGAAAGTTATTTTGATATTTAATTATTTATTTCTTAAAAATATTATAAATAAAATATTGTAGATTTTATTAATTATTAATTAAAATTTAAAACATATTTTAAGATATATAATTATTAAATAAAAAATACTTATTACTTTTTAATAATTTAAGTTTTTTAGATTTGCTATAATTACTAAAACATTATAAATTATTATGTAATTAAAGTATATAATATTAGATTTTAATGCATAATTTTATAATTATATTAAATATTAAACGTTTTTTTGTAAAAATTATAACTAAAAACATTTTAAAATTAAATTTCTGGTGTTATATATCTACGTGATTAGGAGAAACCACGCTGGGAATAGGGAACAATTGAGGGGAGGATTAACAACCAATTTAGAAGTAGTCAGAGAGCACCCCTTTATCGTCACATAGGGCGAAGCCAGAAAATTGAGGGGCAATTTGTCTCTTAAATATTTTTTTGTGATATTAGTTAATTTATTTTTAAGAAAAATTTTAACTTTGATTGGTTTTTCTTTTTTATTGATATCTTCTTAGATGTTAATAAAATAAGAAATTAATATATTTTCTTTGTCTCATCATTAATAATTTTTTTTTTATAAATGAATTGTTTTATGAAAATAAAAAACAACACTTTACTATAATAATACTTAAATAATAAATACACTAATTCAAATAATTTTAAAATTTTACTCTTTTCAACCCAAAATACTTGTCTTTTTTTTTTTTTATTGATTTGTTTATTGAAAATTATTATTTCCCATCGCAAAGTACTAAACAATATGAAAAAGAGAATATATAATTCAATACTTGAAAATTAAAATCATTAGCTAAATAAAGATTCAAATATTTTTATCAGCTAAAGTTTCTATTAATCAAATCATTTTCTAAAATAAATAGCAAAAATTAAAAAATAGAATCCTAAAACAATTCAAAAACTTAAAAGAAGAATAATCTTCGAGTTTGTGTTTAATTAAGAGCCTCAATTCTTCAATTATTCAATATGCATGAAATTCATTTATTTAGATTAAAATAGTCTCATGTTTTACAAAACATTTAATCAAATCTCAATTTTTTTTATTTAAAATAATAGTTATAATAAAAATATTAAAAATTGTATTAGTTTTGAGTTGATAAATATAAAAGATTATGAAGAATTAAATGATAATATCTTAAAGTTTAACATGGTAAATATAATATTTAAAAAATTGAAATGGCAAAAGAAATTTGTAATAATTTTGAAAATTTTCAAGAGCTGAAGGGGGAGGGTGGCCAGCCACCCTCGGACCCCCGCTCCCTCCGCCGCTGTCGCCATGGCCTCTGAAATCTGGTTTGTTGTGTTGAAAGCATGCCCAATTCAACTAGCACATCCTCTAATCGTCATGGCGAAACCCGGATTTCTGAGCCGGAGGTTAGAACGGATCATCAACACCCTTAACATGGAGTTGAAGGGAAGTGTTTCAGTTTCAGGAAAGAGATAGAGGCATTGAGCTGGGCTAGTCTTTGGACCCTTTAGTCTACTCGGATCCAGTTCAACTGCTAATATATTTAAAATTTTCAACGAGATCTGGGTCACAAAAAGGCTCAATATGCAAACTTGGGCTTCCCTAGTCACTAAACTAGATTTGTTGATGGGCTAATATTTGATCGGGGATATCCCGATTCAATCACAATTCCGATGAGATCCGGGCTTACTCTAATCTCTAAACATTTGAAGAAGGACCTCACATGCGAATTACTCCTTCAATTTTAATAGATTTAGCCATTTAGGTTTGAGAGTGTTGAGTTAGATTTTTTCTTTAAATGTCAAAAATGTATAAAATATTAGTTAAAATTAATTATTTTATGATAAATTTACATTTTTTATAAGGTACCATGAAAAGAAATGTTGTGTGCAACACTCTCAAATGAAATTCTATTTTTTTAATAAAATATAGATGTAATAATTAATTAATAAAATTTTATATTTATTCCTAATGTAACCACAATCTAAATATCATGCTTATTATAATGTATTGTAATCATTATCTTAAAATAAATGTGAAATAAAAAAACTAACTAAATAATATCTTAAAATAAAAAATAATTAATTAAATTTAAACATATTAAAATAAAATATAAAACAACCAAAGTTGAACAGCGAACAACAGTAGTATATATTTAAGGACATTGCTAGTCTAGTGGCAAATCTCAATGGTTAAGAGCTTGAGATTTCAAATTAGAGATTTCAAGTTCGAACCTTGAGTCGGGTAAGGAAGGATTTGGGAATAGGGGAGGGTTATTCTTTCTTTTATAACCCATAATCAGATGTATCAAAAAAAAAAAAAAAAGGGGGTTTGAGTCTTACCATAGTGATTTTTACAATTTTTTTGCAACATCTTACAAATACAAAAGAATTTGATTCACTAATAAATAAGTAATTTTTTATAAATTAAATTTAAAGTTAAAATCTTGAGACTAATATTTAAAAACATTTATTTCATAAAATACACTAAAATAAAGTGAGAGTACATGTTTAAAATCACCCATAAACACTAGTTTCAATGTATACACAAAATTAGTCTGAAAATATCTTAACTTTAAATTAAAAAAAATGCAACATTTTACATTATAATTTATAATAAATTTGTTTTAATGCGTGTAATTTCATCAGCAAGTGGCAAATGCCTTTCTTTTGAACCATCGGAGGAGCTGAGTTTTGAGTTTACTGGGAGATCTCTTCCAATTATTTTACTCCAATGTCGCTGGCTGGTTCACACTAAGAACTACACTTAGACTTTATTTCAAAGT